TGGCAGCTTTAGCTCCTCCCTGCAGGGCTGAACTGGATCTGACTGGTGCTCAACAATGGCTCCCAGTTTTGTACGCCTTATAGAACTCACTACTGGTTGGTTAGGAGCTTCCAGCCTCTAACTAAGGGCTTGTCTACGCTGTCACTTTACAGTGCTGCAACTTTCTCACTCAGAGGCGTGCAAAAATACCTCCTTGAGCGCTGCGAGTTTCAGCGCTGTAAAGTGCCAGTGTAGGCAGTGCAGCTGGTAGCTGTTCCCCTCGTTGTGCCGCGACTGCACAAGCCACGTTAAAGCGCTGCCGTGGAATGTGCCCTTAGTGTGCATGTGTATACATGCAGAAATGTCTTCCCTTAATGAAGCTTTCCAAACTAGCTTCAAAACAAAGCTACTGAGCATTGTCAACTTCCTGCAGTCCGAGTGTGTTGAAATAGCAACTACTTGTTTGCATTCATTCAAGCCTCTATACTGCCACCTTGTTTGGGAATGTTTTCCTATCAACTCAGAACAGCAGAACAGAAAAAAAGAAAAGGGGGTTACACGTGTGTTACCAACATGCTCCCCTCCCCCATGCACTTGCTGTGTGCTGCAGAATGTGCCAAAGCAAGAATAAATAATAATGATAATAAGTTTAGTTACTACATAAAGACAGGTTTCAGAGTAGCAGCCATGTTAGTCTGTATCCGCAAAAAGAACAGGAGTACTTGTGGCTCCTTAGAGACTAACAAATTTATTAGAGCATAAGCTTTCGTGGACTACAGCCCACTTCTTCGGATGCATATAGAATGGAACATATATTGAGGAGATATATATACACATATACAGAGAGCATGAACAGGTGGGAGTTGTCTCCTCAATATATGTTCCATTCTATATGCATCCAAAGAAGTGGGCTGTAGCCCACGAAAGCTTATGCTTTGTTAGTCTCTAAGGTGCCACAAGTACTCCTGTTCTTTTTACATAAAGACAGAACTACTCTTGATTTTTGTGCATCCTTCCCAGCGACATCAGCAGGACATCCACTGCAGCTGAAGGGGAGTAAAATCATGACATCTGGGTTATATTTCTTGATCTGGTTTGACTCATGGTGTCACCTGACAAGATGTCCAAGGCATTTGGCCAGATTCTGATGCCAGATACATCAGTGCAAACCCAGAGTCAGATCAGTGGTAACTGAGAGAAGAATATAGCCCATTGCACTGATGTATCTGACATCAGAATCTGACAGAACAGCAGATAAGAATTTTTTGTTGTTTAAAATCTTCCAGAGAAATATATTGAGAAGAGGGGGATGTGGGGTGTTTCCAGCCCTATCAGCGTAGTTCATTAAAGTGAGCAACTCTGTAAAGTCCTATGGCCATTTCCTTCCGCTTTTAATCTGCTCAGTGTTAAGTTCTCTATTCTTCATGCTTGTTCCTTTGGCCATATTGAATATCTTAATGTTAGTAGTAATCATATTATTTTGCTGCTTCAACACCTTTCATCCCAGGCTCTCAAAAAAACTTCACACACATTAACTGATTAAGATGCTCAACCCCTCTGAGGCAGCTAAATATTTGTTGTGTGTTCCTATTCTGCAGACAGATTCAATGAAACAAGCCAGTGGCAGAACCAGTGCAGTCCATTGGTTCAATGTACTTAAAATATATAATTAATAAGATATGGAGTAATCCAGTGGACTGAATATGAAGATAGGGCCTAGGATCTTCTGATTTTTATTGTTGGCTATGACACGGATTTGTTGTCTAGCTTTGAGCAAGTCACTTTACCTCCCTGTGTTTCAGTTCCACCATCAACAAGGTGCAGAGAATAATAGTTACCTGCTTCACAGGGGTGTTGAGCATTTACTAATGAGTTCGTATTTGTATAGCATTTTGAAAACGGAGAGCGCTATATTAATGTTAAGAATCCTCACAACGACTTGAGTTGTTACCACAAACTATTGTTATGGGTGTTCTCAAGCATATCCATACTGCAGACCAATGGATTGTCACACAGCCCGCCTCTCTTGCCCTTTGGTATGGGGTCCATCTCCCTTGCCATTCACAATTGTGCAACATCCCTCTGGGTTCTACAGTTACTGCTTCCATAGACATTCCTTTCCCACTGGTAGCTAGCAGTGGCCTCCCCACTCAAGGCTCCAGACCCTGATGGGCTTCTGATTCCTCTCCTCCTCTTCTTTCATAGCAGTGAAGGATAGATGCAGCTAGCCTGACTCCTCCTCCTTGTTTCCAGTGGCTTTTACAGGCTCTTCATTGAAAGCAAGAGCCCAGGTGCCTATGCAACTGGAAACAAAGAAGGAAGTCATGCAACCAGCCTGCTCTTCGTGAACCACCAGCAAGCAATATGACTGTTGTGAGTAGGGTTACCATTCGTCCGGATTCTCCTGGACATGTCTGGCTTTTTTGAGTTAAAAATAGCATCTGGGGGGAATTTATAAATGTCCGGACCTGGTGCATATGACTCAGCAGTGTAGGGAGTCCCAGCTCAGTGCAGCAGATCTCCTCCTAGGGATGCCTTCCTTACATAATCCCTTTGCAGCAGCAAGGGCAGGTCTGCCTTTCTCTGCCCACCACCCTACTGTGCTGAAGAGACCTCTTTTTAAGTCCCTCCTCCAAGTAGAGCATGCCCAGCAGGCTTTTCAGGGCAGGGTTTTCCAGGCCCAGAGGTGTTCCTGCACCCTTAACTGTCTAGTGTGGGGTTTATTCACTGTCACACTAGCAAACACTATTTGGAAAATATCTCAGCTTTTTTAGAGATGGAGAAACTTGCATGGACATGCATGCACACACACACACACACAAACGCACTGGGTACATCTACACTGCAATAAAAGATCCCATCATAGCCGCAGCTGGCCTGGGGCATGGGCTGTGGGACTATAAAATTGCATTGCAGTTGTTTGGACTCGGGCAGGAAACTGGGATCAGCAGCCCCGCGAGGGGGGAGGGTCGCAGAGCCCAGGCTCCAGCCTGAGCCCGAACGTCTACACTACAATTTTTAGACCTGCAGCTCAAGCCCCGCAAACCCGAGTCAGCTGACATAGGCTCTGAGACTCGGCACTGCAGGTTTTTTAGCACAGTGGAGATGTACCCACAAAGACCCGACCCAGGAAAGCTTTATGTATCTATGTCTCCTTAGCCTTTTTAACAACTGTGCCCCTAGAAGGGAGCAATAGGGGTATGGCTACACTGCAGTCAGGAGGTGTGACTGCAGCACTTGTAAAGATACCTGAGCTAGCTTTGATCTAGTAACAATAACAGTGAAGCCATGGCAGTACAGGCAGCTTTATGGGCTAGCCCTGGCCTCCTAGGACATGGGGTACATACCTGAGCCTTCAATGCTAGCTCAAAGCTAGCTTGGGCATGGCTGCACATGCTGCAATAAACCTTCTGATTGCAGTGTAAACATACTCTCAAAAATGAGGGTGAGGCCCTGGAAGCAGAAAGAATTTTAGTGCCTAGGATCTGGGTAAGCTCAAGGCAGAGCTTAGAGTGTCTGCAATGGAATGTAAGCCCAGGGTTAATGGAACTCGAGTCAGTAGACCCTGGGTTTGAGAACCCAGTGCTGGAGCATCTACGCTGATTGCTGACCCTAGGTTGAGAATTTTTGAATCCACGCCCCAACCTGGGGCTCCAACATATGCACAGCAGTACACAGGCCTAAGTCCAACCAAACATACCCCAGACTTCCTAGTGCCTTCCAAAATGTGACTGCTCTAGCCCCTTGTTTGCGGTGCAGTGTGGGAACATTTGACTGTCCACCCACACACAACGTTTGAGCTGCCTGCCAATACATCCTGCTGAGCCATCATTTTGGTCCGTGTGCTCCCAGTGACCGGAGCCAGAAACATGGAGGCGTCGCCATTTGAAGAACTTCTCTTGCTTGTGCTTTCACTCTTAAGGAACCAGACACTCACGATAGCCACTTCTGGAGCAGGGCCACAGGCAGTGCTTAATTTGCACCAGGGATTGCCAGGGCTGAGCCCCAACACCTCTAGGCTTGGCAGTTCATAGCCCCGGTACCTCTGGGCTTGCTGCATCGGTTATGAATGGAAAAAATTTGTTCGAACCCTGGTGCCTCTTTCATCACAAATTAAGCAAGGCCACAGGCACAGAGTGGTGGGACCACATAGTCATACAGAACTGGGGTGACCAGCAGTGGGTCCAGAACTTTCACATGAAGAAAGCTACGTTT